ATGTGCATGCCCCGTTAAAGTTTCCATGAATTTGCTGCCTAGTGAAAATCAGCCAATTTCGATCCAATCCATATAAGTTCATAATTGTCAATTGAAAAGTCATACCTTATCGAAATGTTTGAACATCATGGAGAATTCGCGAAGTGCCTCTTCGGTGACTCCGGACTGATTTCTTGCCTGGATCTGTTGCTCAAGATTATGTTGCATTCTCATTGCCAGCTGATCCAATTGATCCCATGCTTGGGCTAAGCCCACAGTGCTACAAAATGTGAAATCAGTACAAAATGAGTACTCAAAATCCAGCGCATATACTGTTCCCTGAGGGAAGCGAAGAATCCATCTGCAGCCGAAGTGATGGCGCTTTTATAATAAATACATGTACGTACATACATACATACATACATACATACATACATACATACATACATACATACATACATACATAAATAAATACATCATGCACACACATGCACACACACACGCACATGCACACACACATTTACACAAACAAACAAACGGGCTGTAGATGTCTCAGCGAAGTGAAAACGCAAAAAATGATTTAAAACAAATTCACTGATATTTTTACACTTGACCAGCTCTCTTCCGACTATCATACGCCTTTATTCCATTAGCATAGCTAAAAGTTTCTTTGCGCTTGCTATGACCAAATTATATCACTTGCTAGCTGTGGACATCAGGTTTTTTTTTCGCCAATTGCAAACAGGATGCGCGATCCTTTCGGAGAAAATTACCAAAAAAATTACAAAACACAACCTATGTTCCGTGTAGCGATTGTCCAGGATGAGGTACTCCTCCAAAAGAGCGCCCAAATCCTCAATTTTTCTCAGCTGCGTACGATTATTTTTCACATCCACTGCCTGCAACAAAAATTGCCGATAAAGATTTTCAGAAATTTTAAAGATACAAGCAATGAATATTCCTGGCTAGATGAGGGCCTAAAATCTTCTGTTTTAACATATGCAGTTTGTTTGGCGTTGTTGGCCCTGTTTGGAGACGGGCACAATCGAATTTTGGTAATTAATGAAAAACTGGAAGTGCCATTTAGATCTCCCAAATAAGCAAACCTTATCCATAAATAAGCAAGCCCTGATTGGCAAAATAAGCCGAGATTACGAAGTGATTATCTATCCTTCTTAGCTTCATTTTATCCCTTAAATTCTTCCCCCCCCCCCCCCCCCCCCCCCCCCCCCCCCCCCCCCCCCCCCCCCCCCTCCCCCCCTCCCCCC